TATATATATATATTATTGGAAGGACAAAACCAAATAGAGCTTTAATCAATTGGATAAGTACGTCAATCCATTTCTGTGACTAAAAGCATATATAGGAGAGAAATTAATCCACCTTAATTAATGAGTCATTGACTTACAACATCAAAGTGTGAACATATATAGGACATAGTTTAATGAAGAATTTTACCGATGACTTTTATACTAAATGATCTAAAGTTGGATGGTTAATTTGCGTTCACGCGAGAGAAAGGGAGAGTGGGGATATTTGTGGTTTTCTGGTGGGTATGATCTAATGATATTAACATTTGAGCAAAAGAACCCCAAATGGGGGCCCGAGATTTTGTGGGTGGGGTTAGATGATAGATGTTGGTCATAGGAGTTAGGACTTTTAATAGAGAAACTAAAACCATGGTTAAAGATGCCAAGTTGACCGATAACTTTGGTTAAGTAATCTTTAATTAATTGGAATTTTTTAATCTATATCTTAATGATATATTTATTATACTTCTTATTATTAATTTATATAAAAAATTGTAAAAATAAAATTTATTTTTAATATTAATATCACATAAAATAATTTAATTAAATAATTAATAATATTTAACTTAATTTTTATTTTTATATAAATTAATAAAAATATAATAAAGAACCCTTTTTTTAACGTGTTAAAAATTCCAATTAAGCTTTACAAAAACAATGGGAGGGGAGAAATGAGCCAAGTGGGGATGGTGATGCCGCGGGTGGGACCCGTTCTTGTCTTTTTCTTCTCTTCTCTGCCTTTTAGCCGTCAGTCACTGCCTCCGTTCCTTGACCAACTAAATTTAAATTAAATGGTAAAGACAGATTTCACTGTCTCATCAGTTCTTCTGGTGGAGGTGTTTCTCTTTTTCTTTCCTCTTAATTAGAGATTGTATTTAAACCCTACACTTTATTTTTTTAACAATTTATAATTATTTACAGGATTAATCGATGAAAAGGGAAAAAAATTTCGTAAAGTTCAAACGTGCAACCTAC